GGGGGAAGGGCAGCGCCGCGCGCCGGGGCCCGGCCACACATGTCGATCTCGGGATGGGGGAGCAAGTGAGACGCTGTTTTCTCTGGCCCGGGAACACAGCGACGCATGTTTGTTTTCCGTGCTATCTCTTGCACTGCGTTTGTTATGCTTGTCGAGCACTTTGGGAGATAAAATGACCTGAAAGGAGATTATTTTCTCCTAAATTAAGCTATCAGTTTATCCTTGACTTCTGCCTGTCTGCACTAGCAGGTTGGCCTTCTCCGAGTCCGCGGGGATACCTCAGCTAGAAAACGAGAATATGAGGGGGGATTTGCTGCAGTCTCAGGTCTAATCTTCTTTTCTAACGGCAACTTGAAGCTGTTCCCCCATCTGTGTTCCCATCCTAGTTCTCCTCCTCGTTCCCATCATGGTATGTTTGACTGGTGCCGAGTGTACGGCTTTGCCTCCTAGGGCGCACGCGGCTCTGACGGGGACCTGGGGCTGTTTTTCTCTCCTGCAGGCTGGTGGAGGAGTTCATGCTGCTCGCCAACATGGCCGTGGCCCATCAGATCTACCGCTCCTTCCCCGAGCAGGCGCTGCTGCGCCGCCACCCGCCGCCCCACACCAAGCTGCTCAACGACCTCATGGAGTTCTGCGACCAAGTCGGCCTCGACATCGACTTCAGCAGCGCGGGGGCCCTGCACGTGAGCGCGCCGGGGCCGCGGGGCGTTGTGTGGCTGCGTTGTGTGTCAGCCGTGCACGTCTCTTGAGGGGTTCTGAAACTGTTGGAGGCTCAAGGCACGGCACGTGTGTGAGGGGGAGCTGCCATCTCTGCAGCTCCTGCGGCACAGGTGGGAGAGAACTGCTGTTGAGGAAGGGGAAGGAAAGAGAGACTCCTAAAACCAAGCAGCTTTTGGGGTGAAGAGCAGCAGTGCAGTCACCCCGGCCTTTGCCCAAGCAGTGCCTACAGCTAGTCCATCCCAAAATGAAGTTCCTGCTGTAGCAGCGTTTGACTCCAGCAGCACTGGGCAAAGGTAGCCCAGCCAGTCCTGGCCGGCTGTGATGTGCACAAAGCATAGAGCAGGGTCTGGGAGACCTTGCAAGCGACCCAAGTTACTGCTCTCCCTGCCATACAGGGCAACAGAGAGCACGTCCCAGGGCAGGGCGCTCCCTGGACACCCAGATTTGCTTTGCAGGAGATCGTGAGCCAGTCGCTTGCTCTGTACCACAGGAAAAGGAGCCCTGAAAGGGGGTGTTTCTGTATGGGCTGCTGAAGCTCTCAGGGAGCGGAGGGTGGGGAATGGGGACTGGGAAGGACCAGAGAGCGGTGCTGGGAAAGGTCAGACACAGCCAGGGAAGGAAGTATCGAACCAATCCTCTGCTGAGCGTGTCCCAAGACTGAACTCAAGCAGAACAGCCCAGTACAAGTTCCAGGATTTTCTTTCCCCACTACCACTGGACTGTGGATAATCCTCTGTTAATCCTATCCGTGCTGGCCTCCCTCGCACGGCTCCATCAGCTGGGGCTGCTTTCCCTGCTCGCTGGCTGTGCCGAGGCTAAGTCAGCAAACACAGGACTGTGCAGTCAGCTTCTCTTCTGCACTTTGAACCCTCTCCTCTCTTCCTTGCTGCTGGCCCCAAGCAGTGACCTCTCATACCTGCATCGCTCCGGAGTCCATGCACTGAAGCTCTCGGTGTTGGCCAGGAGCCAGGCAGGGGTCAGGGAGAGGGCTCGCGGTGCCCCAGCACGCTGCCTGTCTGCAGATGGAGCCAGTGGCCCCTGTGCACTCACTGCACTGGCCCTGGCAGGTGGGTCAGTGCTTGGCAGTGCTGTGTGCCCAATCCTGCCAGGATGCACTCGCTGCCACAGCCAGAGCCCAGCTCCTCACGTCCTTTCTGCACTTTTCAAGGGGATTTGTAAGGAATCAGGGCAATTTGCTCTGACAAACTGCGGATTTGTCCCAGTGAAGTCTGTTGGGGTTCTCTGGCCACCACTGCTTGCCAACACTCTCTTTTCTTCTCCAGAAAAGCTTAAATGAAACGTTTGGTGCTGACAAATACTCCGAAGCCAGGAAAGAAGTGCTGACCAACATGTTCTCCAGGCCCATGCAGGTAAGGTTGGCACCATGCACCCGGTTAGAGCTACCTGCTGTGCCCCATCTCCCCCCAGGGCTCCTTCTGCATTACTGTAGTGGTTGGGACATAAAGGGAAGGTGAATCAACACTGAACGTGGTATTGTGGGGCTCCCAGCAGCTCCCAGCCAGTGTTTCAACCCCACGCTGAAGTCTCAGGGCAGCCGAGCTTTTCTGAATGAATCTTCCCACCCCAAACCTACAAATAACAGTTGAAGCATTTCATGCTTGAAGAGGGTGTGTTGGCAGACCCTGCTGCACAAGTAGCTGGTGACAGACTCCAGGGCTGTTCATGCCAGCTCCTCAGGTTGTAGTATCCAAACTGGCTTCTTGGACAAAGAAAGAATAAGGAGTCCAGATGATGCAGACTGATCGTAACGCACAGTCTGACCCTCAGGCTCATGCTCTTAGGCAGGAAT